AGGGACGACAATGCTCAATTTTCTGTGACGTTACTGAAAGCCAGTCCTCACGGGATGCCATCTGTTGGTGGGATGATTAACTTTAATACCTCGTATAGGTGTGAAGGTGTTAGATGATGGCTGATCATAAATTCCACTTTATACGGTTTCTATTAGTTTCTGGGTGTTATAGCGGGAAGGGTAAATGGACTTTGTCTTTGGCGAACGACCTTTCTCATACAGGTGTTCTTCGATTTCCAATTCACTCTAAGAACATGATGATATGGTGCTATAAAGTAAAAACTATGCAAAAGATTCAATGTCTTTAGTGCTCATACAAATTCTTAATCTGTATTTTATGTTTTCAAACATCTTATAACCTGTACCACATTCCCTTAGGGATAAGTTTTCTCTTTTCTTTATATTACAGTTGATATTCTAGATTTTATATCAATCTATTTCTTTAAAATGTCCATATGATGGTAAAAAAAATAATAATGCATGCAAAAGGTTAGTCTAAATTCCATAAAATTATAACTTTTAGCTCTTGATTCCTTTTCCAATTTAAGGTGTATATAAACATACACAAATAGATAGACTGTTATATAGATACAAACGCACACACACACACACACACACACACACACATATATATATATATATATATATATATATAATATATATATATATATATATATATATATATATATATATATATATATGTGTGTGTGTGTGTGTTTGTGTGTGTATGTGTGTGTGTGTGTGTGTGTGTGTGTGTGTGTGTGTGTGTGTGTGTGTGTGTGTGTGTGTGTGTGTGTGTGTGTGTATGCATGTATGCATATGTATGTATGTGTGTGAGGGGATATTTGTGTATACAGATGTATATATATGTGTTGTATGTGAGTGTGTGTGTATATAATTACATATATGCATATATATAAATATATATATATGCATATATAAATATACATGTAAACATATATACATATATACATATATATATATATATATATATATATATATATATATATATATATATATGTGTGTGTGTGTGTGTGTGTGTGTGTGTGTGTGTGTGTGTGTGTGTGTGTGTGTGTGTTTTCAAATGAATATATAAGAATACATAAATGAATAAACTGATACACACAAAAACGTGTGTATGTGTATTATATATGTATGCACACATAAACACAACTACAAGCATATACTTGTGCGCGCGCACACACACAAACGCACTTCCATGTGTGTTTGTTTGTGTGTGTATGTGTTTGTGTGTATAAATATATATGTGTGTTTGCGGGCGTGTGTGTGTCGTTTATACGCACAATATGTATATACAGGTATATACGCACTATATATATATATATATATATATATATATATATATATATATATATATATATATATATATATATATATATATATATATGGTATACACACGCAAACATTTTCGAACTAAGTCTGGAATGAGTAATAGGAAGAAATGAACAATTAATCTTCATCTCTTCTAGAGGAGAAAGTCAATCTGGAAAGATGGGCAAAATCATGAGAATTTAGTAGACATTCCTGACAAGGAGCCATGATAGATGCCCCGTGTATGATATATGGTGCAGGTCGGCCATTCTCCAAGGGCTGACCTTTATAAAGACGTACCACTGAAGACATAGCGAATGTTTTGGCTTGAGGTTTTATGGACTAAGCTTGATTCGCTTGGATACTGAATTCGCATTGCATTTTTTTCTCTTTTTTGTGGTTACATTTTTTTTTACAGTTCCGTTATTCTTAGCATATTCACGTATCCCTAATATTGCCTGTTTAGTTCTACATGTATGTGTCATCATTTGGTTATCTGAATCCGTGACTCCCGTAAAAACAGTTTGGCTTTGTTCGGGAATATGCATGAAACTAATTCATAGATTATACTCAACTTATAACAATATGATTATTACACTACATATATAAATACTTTGACCAGTAACTATTGCTTTCCCTCAAATTCTCAGGATTTTAAGATTCTAACTTGCAAAATGGCATCATTATAAGGATGTTAGGTCGGTTACGATAGAGAAACTGAGTACATGGCACTGTATCTTTTACGGGATGGAAACAAAGAAACATTTGTATCGTCTGTTGCTCACCAGTTCATGAATAAAGCATTAAATTCATTTACTTTCGTCTATCAAATTTTTCATTTCCGTGATTATCATGGAATAAATAGCCAAGATATATACTAACATAAATTGCCCACCTTTCTTTTTATAACAATGTATACATTAACAAGCCAAAATACGAGCTCAGAAATTAGTCACAAACAAAAGAAGCTGTCTTGCCTCTCTACGGTACTTTGAATGCTGTTAACTAGATTCAAAGGAGCCATACATACGCAGCACAATGCCCGGGCAAAGGGAGCCCACACTGCGCTGGAAATTGGCTCGGATGCTAAGCATTATTCTCCCTTATTTATTGGCTAATGTGATGGATGTAGAACAAGGTTCATCGCGCGAGATGCAGTTTCGGCGAAATGTCGATGTGCAATGAGGTGCTCTGAGGGCGCGATGTCACACTGGGACTGAAATGAGGTTTGATGTTCGAGGTGCGATAAGAGGGGGAAGCGTGGAGTCCCGCTGGCCAGGTGTGGGGGAAATCGTGTTATATAGATGTATCCGTGATATTTAATTCATAAGGACCTCCCTTTCTTCTCGGGTAGAAGGCGGGCGTGGGAGTGAGTCGTGTCTAGGAAAGGGGTGATCAAATATTTTCCGATGTATAATGACATTAGAGAAAAAGCCGTTTCGACTTACTTTTTCAGAAAGAAAAACTCCTTATATTCATTGCATGATAAAATATTTACAAAACTTTATAACTATATACAAACACATACACTTATATAGACTGTGATTTTTTGTTGTGTATATATATATATATATATATATATATATATATATATATATATATATATATATATATATATATATATGCATGTAGAAAAAATATACACATACGCATATATTCAAAAACATATTTATATAGATAGATACACACACACACACACACACACACACACACACACACACACACACACACAACACATATATATATATATATATATATATATATATATATATATATATATATATATATATATATATATATAGATAGATAGATAGATAGATAGATAGATAGATAGATATATAGATAGATATATGTATATATATATATATAATATATATATATATATTATATATATATATATGTATATATAAATACATACATATATGTGTGTGTGAGTATTTGTCTTTGTGTGTGTTTGTGTTTGTGTGGGGGAAGGGGGGTATATATATGTGTGTGTGTGTGTGTGTGTGTGTGTATGTGTTGTGTGCGTATATATATATATATATATATATATATATATATATATATATATATATATATATATATATATATGCATAAACATACTCATCCTTATATAATTATGTATATGTGTGTATCTGTGTATGTAGTCATATGTGTGAAATTGCGTATGTGGGAGTGTGTATGTCTTAGTGTGTGTGGGGAGGGGAGGGGGATAAATGTGCGTGTGTTGGGTATGCTTGTGTATGCATATATGTAATGGTATGTGAATGTGTATAGGTATAATGTGAGCATGTGTATGTATATTCAAAGAGAGAAACAGGTATATAAGTCTAGTAATAACATTCTAATAAAAAGAGAAACGTAGATCACCTGAGTGGAACTGAAAAAAATACTACAGTCATATACTGATACAATGTAAATACTAAAAAAACAATAGGTAAGTGCCAACATGAATACAGAAAAATCGAGCTTGCCACCTTTCCCGAAAGGTCGCCAGTCTCGCGCTAAAAATCAAAGTCATGCACCAAATATTGAGCAAATGCTTCG